CACCCTATTTTTCTCTCTTTTAGCAGACATTTTAAGTATTCTGTGTGCAAGATCTGGTGCGTCTGTTTTTCATGTCTTTGGTTTTAAGAGTTTAAGAGAAATCAGTACAATTTAAAGAATATAGAGAACATTGCCGGCACAATGACTCACGCCTGTAATCCCAGCACTTTGGGAGGCCGAGGCAGGAGGATCGCTTGAGTCCAGGAGTTCAAAAGCAGCCTGGGCAACAAAGTGAAACCCCGTGTCTACAAAAAAATACAAAACTCGCCAGTCATGGTGGCGCACGCCTGTAGTTCCCTCTACTACTTGGGAGGCTGAGATGAGAGAGTCACTAGAGCCCAGAAGGTGGAGGCTGCAGTGAGCTAAGATTGCACCACTGCACTCCAGCCTGGGCTATAGAGCAAGACCCTGTCCAAAAAAAAAAAAAAGGAACGTCAATGATATATTGGGGAATGAAAAGCCAACAAATCAATTGTGTTCTCAAAGAGGGTTTGTGAATGAATTGTTTGGAATTCAGGATGTATTTCCCGGAGGAAATCTCAGACTGATCATGGTTATAGTACAATATAATAGTAAGAGATAGTAGAAATAGTGATTGAGTCCTTACTATGTACCTTGAAAATCCATTTCTCATTCAATCCCTGAAATACTGTTATAAGTTAGCTATGATGGTCATCTCCATTTTCCAGAGGAAGAAACGGAGGCTTGGAGACATGAGATAACTAATTTCAGGTCACACAACTGGCAAGTGGTAGGACGTGACTCCAAGCCAGGCCTGTCTTATCCAGAGCCACGTCAGCAAAAGCCTATGCAATGACAGAGCTGTGCTGACATGTGGCAGGAAGTCACACAGTTACAGTATAATTACAGCATCCATTACAGGGATGTAATGGCATTTAATAAGCAAGCCTCTTTTGTATCTCAAACATTAAGACTTTAGGGAGAGGAGTTTTATTTTGAGAATTTGATTTTCTACCAAAGAAATATTTCTTAACAGAGTTTACACTTTCTGATTCCTGATTCCTACCATACTATGCAGTGTTCATTTCAATAGATCATGGGCTATCTCAGGAACCTTGAAAACAAGCCAAATACAAGCAAATTGGCCAAAGGAGCACAGGTTAGCTCTGCTTAACACCCTCACAGCCAGGGCCCTGGGAGCAAAGTGGAAGGAAAGGACATAACATCTATCTGCCCGGCCTGAATTAACCAGGGAGTAAAAGTAATCACCTAATAAATTCAAATTAATAGATAATCTGGCTGATCAATTCAAATTAATCAGAAAAAGAAGAACAGCTCAACAGAAAAACATGAAAGATGAAAAGGCAATCCACAAAAAAATAAACATAAATGGCCCTAAACATATACAGACTGCTAAAGTTGCCTGAGAATCACCAAGACATCAGTTAAAATGAGATTCATTGGACCACTACATTGACAATGTTTGAGTTTGTTTATGTTCTTGTAAGGTGGTAGTATTTGCACAGACTCCTGGGGAAAGAACCTCCCATTTTTCGCTGGTGGTACAACTTTCTCATAGAAAACTTGGAAATATGCATGAAACACCTTTGCAAAGTGCATACCCACTCATTAAAATAGTTTACTTCAAATAATTTACGCTAAAGAAATAAACAAGGATATTTCCTAAAATTAGCAATAAGCAATATGACCCATATGATTTCATTTTTATAAAAAAAATATACACACATCCTTAAGACAAAGTCTAGAAGACTATAAACCAAAAAATTAATTCTGCTTATCACTAGATAATTGGATTAGAACTAATTTTATTTTTTATATTTTTTTCTTCAACAAACATGTACTAATATGGTAATTTTTAAAAGGTATATATTTTAAAAGATATATATGATTCAAGCCAATCATATATATATAATTCAAGCCAAAACTGTGGGAAAAACTGCATTGTTAGCTCTGAAGAGATGATATTGTTGAGTGAAAAAGCAAAGTACAGAATAGAAGTAATCATCAACAGCCACTTGTGAAAAGGGAGGAAAATACTACCTGCATTGGCTTAGAGATGCATTTCGAAAACACCCTCGGAAGGGTATACCAGAAACAAACAATGGTGGTAACTTGTTTAAGAGAGTAAAAAGAAAGCAGACTTTCAGAGAAAGAAAGAAGAGCTTTCAGTGTTATAATTTTTGAGCTTTGAACTATGTGAATACATTACCTTCTCAAAAAAAAGTAAAACACATATATATTTTTAAGTAACTTTTTTCCTCGGGCCTTTTTCAGTACATATGTGAGCTATATTCTACAAAAAGTGTTCTACTCTTGGAGTCTACACCATTGTCTTAGGAGATCCAGTTGAAAAGCAAGACAGCCAGTAAGATTTCCTCATTTCTAACACTTATACCACACCACACCCCAGAGCTATTTTTCAGAACATCTCTGAATGTGGCAATTGAAAGAAAGGGAGGAAGAGATAGAGAAAAGAAGGGGAAGAGTTAGAATGGATGACTTCTGCCTCCAACCCAGGAGACATCGATCTGCTCTCCACAAACTCTATCCCCGCCCCACCTCCCTCTCACCCCTATCCAAGACAAACTTGCCTCCAAGTATTTGGCAAAGGTTTTCACCACCTCATTCTAGGCAGCACACAGGTCACCAGACTTTAGAAATACTATCTTTGCTTAACATATCCCATTTCAGCCCTCCTGGAAATATCTGCTTGATCAAATACACAAATCTCACCCATCCATCTTAACAGAATTTTTAATACAGTATCCTAGGAAGTGATTGAAATGACAGAAAATATCCTGAAGCTAAACATCTTACGAAATCCCCACATGACTTTCAGTATGTCAGGAGTTTAGCAGTCATCGCCTCTTTCCACACAAGAAAAAAGCTAAACAAACTGAAAATCAACAACTCTTCTTAGATCCATCAGAGAACTGAGGTCACAGGGCAAACTGCTACCCCCAGAACTGCAGAAACAGACAAGGGGATACAGATGATCATGGGGAGAAAACTCTACAGATGATCATGGGGAGAGAACCAGTGCCAGGGCAGGAAAACCTAAACTGTAGTTGATGAATTGCTGGAGGCTCAGGATGGATGAGACTGAGAGATTAAAAACTCAAGGGGACCAGCCTCAGGGAGGTTCCCATGCTTTGTTTTACCTCTGGGAACCCTACCAGGTTCTGACAGTGAAGATGAGGGGAAATCCCCTCATGCTCCCAACGGGGAGAGGGATAGAGGAGCTACTTGGAAATACACCAGATCATTCTCTTCTTATCAAGGTCTGGTAAGAGAAACTATCTTACCACAGAATAATTAATGAATTTTTTACCAAAGCCCAATCAACCTGGGGAATGAGAAATACCCAACTCGAGCCCCCTCTAGCCTGTCTGCATCATCTGTGGGGGCTGTAGAAGTGTGCAGGGAGGAGCACTTGTGAAGGTCACAGCCCAGGCCACAGGCTCACTGAAAGACCCAGACCTAATTGTCTACAGTACGCTCCCCTCCCCACACCTCACCCCTATATCACCTGAGCTCTTGCATCATAGCAAAGAACTGCAACAGAAAGAGCTGCATGTCTCAGATCTTATCCAAGGAGAATTCTCTAGGGAACCCCAAAGACAACAAAGAATACAAAAATAAGGACACTGGAGGAAATTTTAGAGCTACACCACAGCTCTTACCAATAGATGAGGCACCAACATGTGTTCAAAGCTCAGCCAGTCCAGTGCACTTCCCCTGGACTTTGAAGCAAGTGAAAATAAGATTCAGGGGTGGTTTAAATGTCTTCCTGTCTGTCATGGTGGTGGCATCAAATGTCCCAGGCCCCGTGTGGTGATGCTTCTTAGCCAGGTAGTGGCCTTGCTGTTGTTTCTACCACTCTGGTGTCCTTGGTTCCTGTCTATTTTCTGGGCAGGCTCTGATCTCTAGTCTGACTGCTGATTCTGCAAGGTACCTAAAGCAAACTTTAAAAAGTTTTCTTCTTTCTCTCTCTTAGAACTTCTCTTAACATCTCAGGAGACTCTAGTGTTTCTGGGAATACAGTGTGGAAATTGCTACATTCAAAGGTAAACCATCAAGCCAGAGATGCCTCTCTGCTGAGCAAACCACCAGCTGAGGGGAAATTATACAGGAGTTAGAAAGAAATTATTTAGGCAGTTGGCAGTTGGTTGGTCCTCAGTAACGTTTCCCTTTTAATAAAAAGCAGTCCCCAAATCATTTATTTTCTAACAAAGAGCAGCCTGAAAAATCAAGGTGCAAGCATAGAAAAGCAAGCTAGAAGCTTGCACGGGTGAATGTCCGCAGCTGTGCCAATGGGAAAAGGCTACCTGTGGCCCAGGGGTGTTCAGCATGGAGGCTCTATCTCCCCTTTTCTACGTCAATCACAGGAGCAGTAAAGGAACAGGCAACATGGCTCTGGTCAGGTAGAGAACGCATGTGCATAATAAAACATTAGGGTAGGGTGACCAGCTTCTTCATGTACTATGTAAATGGCACACCTGGTCCAATTAATTAATCTTTGAGCCCCACTTAAATCAGACGCTGCCTCCTCAAGCTCATCTTATAAAACCTCGTGCATTTCACCACAAAACCACAAGACCTGCTTAACCCTGGAACACTGTATACCTGCTTAACCTCGCTCTCTGCAGGAGAGACAACTTTTGATCTTTCTCTCACCTATCAAACCTCCACTCTTAAACTCACTCCTTGTGTCTCCATCCTTAATTTCCTTGGCTTGAGGCTGCGAACCTAGGGTATTACCCCAGATGAAAGATGCTGCTTCAGAAAGAAACAACAGGAGAAAGAACATGCAGAAAAAACTGCAGCATTAGAGGCAAAGGGAGCTGCAGGGTAACTCCAGATAGTGTCCTGACCAGGGCCTCCCACAGGGGTCCTCAGCCCTGGATGCACATCAGACTCCCCTGCAGAGCTTAGAAAAACTACACAGAAACCACCCTCCACCCTCAGAGACCTTGAGTACAGGGAGGGCCCAGGCATACCACGGAGTCCATCTCCCCAGGTGAGGAGAGTATGCAGGCGGTGAGAACCACAGAGGCGGGGCTAATTACACCACACACTATTTACACCACGTGCTAATTACATCGCACTCAGACACATTGTGTAATAGCTAGTATCCCTCAGACAGTTTCCCGTAAGGCCAGAGACAGTGCCCAGGAATAATATACACATCCTTAAAGCAAAGTCTAGAAGAATATAAACCAAAAAATTAGTGCTTATTATCACTAGATTATAGGACTAGAACTGATTTTTTTATACTTTTTCTTCAAAGAATATGTACTAATATGGTAATTTTTTAAAGATATATAATATCATCTGCAGAAGACATCTTCTATGGGCTTCAGGTTTCTGGCAGGGAAGCTCGCCTTCAACAGCTCTGACCACAAGAAGCAGAGGCTCTTTCATGGGAAGGATGAGGAAGACGCAGAAAGTGGTGTCTTTCTGTCTTCATCAGAGCTGGGCCATTAAACAGAAGTAGCTTCCTGTCTCCAGGAGTCCACACTCACTCCATCGAAAGCTAGAAACAGGATCTCCCTTTCATTGATTTCCTAAATAAATGGATTGGTTTGGGAATGGCTTTACTTCCAATCAGTCCTGTCAGCTCTCCATACCATAAATTTGTATTTTGTTTCTTTTTTTTTTTTGAGACGGAGTCTTGCTCTGTCGCCAGGCTGGAGCACAGTGGTGCAGTTTTGGCTCACTGCAACCTCCGCCTCCCGGGTTCAAGTGATTCTATCGCCTCAGCCTCCTGAGTAGCTGGGACTACAGGTGAGTGCCAAACACTTGGCTAATTTTTTTGTATTTTTAGTAGAGACAGGGTTTCACCATGTTGGCCAGGATGGTCTTGATCTTTTGACCTTGTGATCCACCTGCCTTGGTCTTCCAAAGTGCTGGGATTATGTATTTTCCTTTTAAAGCATTTGCTGTGTTCTTGTCTCTTGGATGTGGCTTTAGAGATGGGCATCCTGAAGACAAGTATTCTGTTTAGTTGTTCTCTTTTAGGCTTTCTAGATGCCCACTTTCCTGGCATCTCAGCCTTGTATTAATGGTTCTCAAAGTGTGGTCCCAGGACCAGCAGCAGTGACATTGGGGAACTTGTTTAAAATGCAGGCTCTTGGTCTCACCTCAGCCCTGTTGAATCAGAAACTGCAGCGGGAGTGGGGGCAGTAGTCAGTGTTTTAACAACTATAATATGACTGCTTTAAATTATTATTATTATTATTATTTTTAAATATTTTGCAGATTTATTTGCTCTATTTTTTTCTTATATCACTTATGTCTTTTTTTTTTCCCATTTATTTATTTTATTGCATTTTACATTTTGGGGTACATGTGAAGAACATGCAAAATTGTTGCATAGGACTTTAAATTATTTTAATAGCCTAAAAGCCCACATTCTGGAAAAAATATCCTGTGTCTTTAAGCCCTACCCTAGGCTGTGATTTAATTATCTATGCAGAGAGGGCAACCCACATCTATGGAGTGGCTCACTTTGAAGCCTTACAACATCCCTAGAAAACTTGTCTCCGTTTGAAAATGAAAAGTCAGGTGTGAAGAGTCAAGTCACTTTGTCAAGATCTCAGCTAACCGGCAACAGAGCTGGGTATCAAACCACATCTACCCACTGCCAAAGCCCCTGCCTCTCTGCATGCTCCCCGCCCTGAGCTCCAGGACTTCACTGCTGCTAAGCGGGATCCTGAGAGCCGAAAGGTGGGGAAAATCCTGGCTCATTCCTTGATTCTCTAAAACAGCTGGCCTGGGCTGAATGGAGAATGGGTGGGGTAGACTGCAGCAGCATCCAATCTGTTCAAGGTGAGGAAAGGTTTTTCAACAAGCATCTTGTTTCCCTACCAGACTGCAAGGCACCCTCCCCACAAAAGACACTTTCATTCATTCAACACACATTTGCTGAGCACCAGATGCTCTGCAGTTTCTACAAATCAGAGTGGAGTGAGGCTAAGGGCCCTGCCCTGCTCAATGGTAATAATAAGTCCACATTTGGTGAGCACATTCTATGCCCCAGTCACTGTGCAAAACAGTCTCATTTAATATTCACATTAGGCCTGTGAATTAGAGAACATCTTTATCCCCTATTAAAGATGAGGAAACTGAGACTCAGTGAATGTATGCAATGTCTCAGGGTCAAGCAGGTCGGAAGTGGCAACAACAGAAAAGTCTGGATTCCTCTGACTCAGAGCCTGAGCCCTTAACAAGATGCTGTGGCACCTTACAACACATGTGTCCTCTGCTGCTCGGGCGTGTACATGTGTTTTTAGGATAGTGATATGTTGTTGTAAAACTGTGATCTTAGCCATTGCACAGGGCAGGCCCTGACTTTCCTGGTCAGGGATTGTCCATGGAAAGGATGGCAGAGCAGGAATCAGGATGCCTAACTGTCTGGGCCATAGGGGTGAAATTAAACAGCAGCAAAATCCAGAACCAGTGAGCAGAGCAGAGTTTGGGGTAAGGAGATGACAAGAGGAATAAGAGGCTCCTTGGGTACCTGTGGGGAGGGAAGCCAGCGGACTGCCTACTCCTCTGGCATGGGTCTGTCTCCTGGGTGATGCTCCTGCTTCAGGCACGTCCCAGCTGATGAAACTCTGAAATATTTCTAATATCTCCTCGAGCAGGTCTTTCTTCTCATTCTCCTCCCTTCCTTTCCCAAACTCACAATGCTCACGATGAATGAGGAGCAGCTGTGCGCGCACGCTTCTGCTCGAAGCTTAAAGAGCAGGCGTAATTAGCCTCGTCCTTCTCCTGCTGCCACAGTCATGGAGCACAACTTGAGATGGAACCTCAGCCATGACACACACAGCAGCGCCCTGCCAACTTGCATTGGACAGGTAGCACAAGGCAGAACTAAACTCCTCTTGCACGAGGCTACGGAGATTTGGGGTGTTTGTCACCTAGCCTGTCCTGACTGATGGATTGTCTCTCTGGCAATCTGTCCTTTTCCTGTCTCCAAGAAGTTAACACATGTGACATTCTCCAATGGCCAGAGGACTGGGAGCCTGGTTCTTCATAGCTTTCTGCTGTCCTCAGAACAACCCTCTCCCTGGAAGACCTTGAACGGTCTCTGTTCTTTGCAGCTAAGCAACAACAACCACCCCTCCCTGCATTCCCTCTATCACTTGTCATCGAGTTCAGGTGGTTCAGGCCCCTGTGGTCTCTCACCTGGGCCATTGCAGGCCTCCCAGTGACTCCCCTGTACCTCTACTCCCCCTCCTATCTGCCTCCCTGTAGCCGCCAGAGTGGTCTGCCTAAACTGCAGGTGTGACTATGACCTTCACCCGTTATCTCCATCACCCCCTGGATTAGGGGTGCAAGCTCCTGGCCCAACATCCAACACAAACAATCTTGGGTCTAGTCCTGTTTAGAAATAAATCAATCTAGAACTAGGACCGGTGGAGGAAATATTTCACAGGGTGCGTGTTTTCTGAAGCCCAGGCCATTCCCTCACCAGGACTCTGTTTTGGCTGCATGTTTATAAGGGAGTAAAACTCAGCCATGCACACACTCTGATCCAGAGCTTATATCCAACACACCCACCATGTCTTAGGTGCGAGTACTCCAGCAATGGTGTTTAGCTCTAAAAATAAGCAGGCCCCTGCTGCCATGAGGAACAGGCTGTGAGCAAGCCACGCCTCCTCGGAAAGCATGTCTCACATTCCCCACCTGCCATCTTGTCAGCCACACTCTGCTTCTCTGGGGTTACTCTCAAATGCTATTGCAGTGAGTGCGAATCTGACGATGAGCTCAGTTGCCTGTGCGCTAAGCCCGGCACAGTCACAGCTTCTTTGACTGAGAACTTGAAGCCTCTTGAGCAACGGAGGAGGGCCCCAGGGCACTCACCCTGCTTGGACACCTCCATAACAGGGCCACCAACTGGACAGCTTTGGCAGACAGCAAGATGGCATCAACATTTCCCAAGCCAGGGGCACTGGCTTTTCTGGAAGGCCCACATGTGAGCCACCTCTGGCATTTTATACCACTTCTAGGGTGGCAATTATGAAATACACTTTGACTAATTTTTCACTGATGCAAACTCAGCCTTCCCTGCATTGATCCAGGAGATACACAATGCAACTTTCAGAATGTAGAAACATTTGCATTATGATCAGAATTGCCCACCAACCCAGAGCTTGAATGCAGGCCACAACACCAGTGCCCCAGGAGGGCATTGGGCGCCATGAATGTGAGCAATTTGGGGAAGCTCTCGGTCTGCAGGCTCAGGCTGCTGCAACTGGGTAGACTTTGGATACCTCCGCTTGTGCCATTGGTGTGACCTGTCCCCTCCCTCATCCATCGCACAGCGCACTCCCATCAGGACTGGAAAGCCAAGGCTAGGAGTCAGCTCAAAGATGTTTCTGAAAGGGAAAGTTGGACGGATCTAGTGGTGAGTCCTGGGTGGTCTACAGATTCAAGTCGCCTGTGGGAGTCACATGATTTGGGAGTTGAGGCTTCCAGACAGCTACTTCTGAGCAGAGAGGATCCATGGGGCTTCAGGGGAGGACTCCCAGGTACTGGCACGTTCTCCATCTCAACCTGGGTGGGGTTACACAGGTGCTGTTTTACATAACTGAAATTTATTAAGCTGTACATTTATAGCTAGGAGCAGTGGCTCAGGCCCGTAATCCCAGCACTTTGGGAGGCTGAGGTGGGCAGATCACCTGAGGTTGGGAGATCAGCCTGACCAACATGGAGAAGCCCCGTCTCTACTAAAAATATAAAATTAGCTGGGCGTGGTGGCACATACCTGTAATCCCAGCTACTCAGGAGGCTGAGGCAGGAGAATCACTTGAACCCAGGAGGCAGAAGTTGGGGTGAGCCGAGATGGCGCTATTGCACTCCAGCTTGGGTGACAAGAGCAAAACTCTGTCTCAAAAAAAAAAAAAAAAAAAAAAAACCTGTACGTTTATGTCTTATGCCTAATTGCCTAATGTGGGACATTTCTTGTATTTCATAATTTTTTAAAAAAACATGGCTTTAAGAAAAAGACAAGGCACCCTGAAAGAGATGGAGTGTGTATGTCAGGAAATGTCTGTGGGAGGGAAATGGCAAGCTCTCTGTCCACCAAAGGGGAGAGGAATTTCATTTTGCTCTGTGGGAGGCAACGTCCAGGGGAGATCTAAACTTTCCAGGGCGTGTGGGCCATGTCTCCACATCCTGAGGGCTGCAGAGCTGGGCTGCAGATGGCTTCGGGAGGGACCCAGGAAGTGTTGGCACTGGCGGGGGTGGCAGGGCGGCCCTGTGGGAGCTGCTGAAAGAAGAGCCGCAGGGGGCCAGCCCAAGAGCCTGCCTTCCTGATCTTTGCTGACCATCACCACAGATTATGTGAGGTAAAATGTGTTCTTTATAAAGCCGCCCCTAACTTTTCATTAGCTTGCTTTGCTGGGTTGAAAAAAAAAAAAACAAGAAAACTAATAATGAGAAACCACAAGAGATCCCCAGGCGGGATTTGAGCCCTCTCAGGCATGGCCAAATGTGGCTGAACTGGGACTGGATAAAGATGTTTACTGACAGTCTAATAAACAAATGGGCCCTGTTGGATGTAACCTTGATGAATGGAGCATCCAGGTGTTTTCACTAATGGCAATAAGCACTACAACCCAAAGTATTTCTGATTCAAGTCTAATGCATTATTAGGCCATTAGAGGCTGAGCACGGAGAACCATTTGGACACAACCCTATCAATAATGCTGCTTCCCAGCCTGCATTTAGGCCCGGGGAATTAGTCATCCTGATATTCTATTTAATAAAAAACCTCAAGAAGAAGCATCAAAAATCACATTACATTTTAACAGGGTTACAGCAGCCCAGGAGAACCACAAGTTTAATTTTCATAAGAGCATTCATTCCTCAATTATGTCAAACATGAAAATGTAAATGGCAGATTTAATGCTAACAATACCCCTCAAAGCACATTGGCAGGTAAGGCACATTATGTTGAGTGGATGCTGGCTGCATATCAAGCAGCTCCTGAAGGGAGATTTGGGGGCTCAGAGAGGAGGGGGTTTCAGGCTACTTGACGGGGCTGCCCCTGGGAGAGCTCCATCTCCCATGCAAGGGGGGACACATGAGTCTTAAGAACACGGGCTCCCTGGTGGCCCCTCATGGCATCTCCTGTGGGTGCCAAAAGTTTGTTTGCTCATGTGGCAGCAGCTGACAGACGCTAATGGAGGCATTCCAGGGCCTAAAAGTGATCAGAGCTTCCAAGACATTGCCAGGAACTGCATGGGGTGTGAGATGAGAATCTGTATTTGAAACAAAATTCCAGGTTAGGGTCTCTCCCTCCCTCAAAAACTAGACCTATTTTCTGGCCAAAGGCATGGCAGAAAGAAGGGAATATTATTTCTATTTTTAGCTGAAGTCACTGACAAGAGCCACCAAAGAGTTTCACTGCCTTTTTCCATAAAAAACAGAAGTTGTCTTTGAAAGATGTCAGGATACATTGATTTTTTAAAAAACAATCTATGGCAAAAAAAAAAAAAATCAAGTATTGTGAATTGGTGAGTGCAGAGGAAAACAGCTGAATGATTATACATCAAACTATGAAGGGTACCTCGGAGCATACATTACTTTTGTAAGCAAAATATAATAATAATAAAGTTTTAAAAAAAAAGAAGCCCCAGCAGAGAATGTCCATTCATGAATAGAGCCGTCTTTCTGACGATAAGCACTTGTACCATTCCTTCTGAGTTGATCTGTGATTGGAATTAAGGCAGAATCATAAAATCATGAAAAAGAAGGCTCGGATACAATCTGGTCTTATCCCTCTTTTTATTCTGGAGAAAGCTAAGACCCAGAGCAATTCATTCATTCAGAAAGAATTTACTAGGAGTCTGAAATGTGCCAGACAGGACTTCAGGCTCTGGGCTTCTCTTCAGGGCTTGATCCAAGCCTCAGACTAAAGATGCCCCCCTGTATCATTCATCACAATAAGTGGATCCCACACACGTAACCCAACATATGACAGCAAATCTTACCATATAACTGTATTACTCTGAATATAGAAGTCCTTATAGGGAAAACACAATAAGGCATATACATTAAGTTGATGCCAATACACTTTTATTAGGCAAATACCCCTTATAAGACATCATGATGGTTACCAGAGATATCAAGACGAAAAACACAAGCATTTCACAGTCTTGGGAGAAAGGCAGATGTGTAAACCAATAAGACAGTACAATGCCATAGGTGAGCATGTGTAAAAGTGCATGTCTGCGATGGCATGCTGCTGAGTGGGCAATAGTTGACTTTTCAGGGAGACTGCAGGAAAGGCTTTGCTGGGATGACATCCAAGCTGGGTTTTGACAAGCAAACAGTTGTTTATCTTGTTAATAAAATAAACAACTTATCTAGGCTCTGCCCACTTTCTCATTTGAGTAAACAGAGGCCAGAAATCAAAGGTAATTTAATTCAATTCTAAGCTTTGCTGTGTTTTGTGAAGGAAGCCTGAGCAAATACAATTTTACAACCCACTGCCACAACCAAAATTCCCTTTTCCCATTGCTCTACACCTGTTCTCTCTCACATCCCATGTCTGCACCAAAGCTTCTCTCTTCATCCCTCTCTCCCACCTGCCTGCTGAAAACTCCCCACCAGAATCCAGCTCTCACAGTCTTCATCTTGCTGTCCACTCTCCCTTTTCTTCAAAGTCTATCATGTCTTCTCTCTGGCATGCAAACCTTGGCCATGTTTGATACAAATCAAAAGGGTCCTTTCTCAGTTCTGCTTCTTATGGCTCTAACAAGGCCAATGATAAGGGATGGCAAAGACAGTGTTTGCCTTAGACAGTGGGGTACAGGAAAGTGGGTGAATGCTCACTTGGGGTGAAGGTTTGACACTGCCAACACTGACGGTGAGTTTGGGCAATGAGTGTGGGCTGCTCTGTGGATGTGCACAAATCCCAGTGTCTAGGCTTCAGCTTGGGATAGACCAATCTGTCTTTCAGGAGAGTAGCAGCTGCCAGTGGACAGTTACGGGGGTGTCAAGCACACTTATTGAGATATCAAGCCCTCTGGAGCAAAATTTTCCATTAAAAGCACTTTACAATTTCTCTTTCTACTTGTAATTATATTGGGAATAGGGTGGGCAGAGTGAGCTACAGTTATCTTTTGAGCTAGAGACATTTTATAGACTCATGAATTAGGAATGGGCTTTATCCTACAGCCAAATTATTAAACAGCAAATTTTCTTCCTGTCTCAGGAAGAAAGAGTGAAAATCTATCAAGACTGAGCTTCTCAAAGCCTTGCAAGGCAGAGTTTGGTTAAAAACTTGCTACAATCCTAATTTAGGAGCATTCAGATAACACTGAGTATACTCCAGTAGGCTGTTTGGAGTCATTATCTACCCTAAGTAGATTCAGTTCCAAGAGCAGGCAATTAAATAGCTTATTTTAGGCAAGAAGGCTGCTGTAAATGAGCTAACTCTATTACCTTCAATGCCCTGCTTATCTGGCCCTACAGGATAGCCCTGGATAGCAAAGGAAGCTCTTTACTACTGGGACCAAAGAAGGCTCGTGCGCATCAAGACTCAGCCTCAGAAGTGTCTGGACATAGAGGACACCACCATTAGTTGGCCTAAATGCCTCCACTTTGGTTTTAAACAAGGATTTTCTCATGTTATCGTCGGGGAGATATGGAGCTCCGCAAGGGCAAGGATGGTATCTTTCATCTCTGAGCATGTTCCAGGGTGGCCTGTTTTTATCAAAGCCCTCACTTCCTCATCTCTAAAGCTGGGGTAATGATACTGACACACTGGGAGCTGGAGAGAACACTATCAATCATGCACATAGAGCTCCCAAAACAAATCCTGGCATACAGCTGCCTCTCACTACACACATACCTCAACTGATAATGAAGAGGAGAATATTGCAAGAGGAACCATGGACATAAATTATCCAAAAACATGTATCTTTATTGTTGTGTGTGCTATAAGCCACCATTTTCCACAGACAGAGAACATCAAAATGCATAGCAGAGAAAGACAGTATTTTTACAATATGTCCTACTGGTGTGAAATCTAATGTAGTGAAAATATCCGATATATAGAGTTAACTGTTTTATATAATTATATAATCAATTAAGAGTTAACTATAGATGTAAAACAGTTATCTCTGTTCCCCTGCCTCTCTTTCTCTTGACTGAGAAACCTCAAGCGTTGTTTTTCTCAGATGACAGAGGCCTGTGATAAAAAAAATCTTGTGTGCACAGGCATAATTAAGGCATGTTCTTTAACACAGTGAAATTTCAGTATTGGACTTTACATCATTTACAAAAGAACCTCTTCTCTGGACTGGAGGAGAATTTTCCTCCAAGCCGGTAGACATTGCTTAATACAATTCAGCTTAGTCCCTCCTGATGGCAGTGTTTTGTCCCCATCAAAGACAATAGGGGCATTGCCAGAAGCCGGAGTAGAGATTGGTCAGGAACCAGAATCTAGAGGAAAACACCCATTAGTAAGATGTCTCAGGAGTGATTATTATAGTTTCCAGATGGTATAAATTTTGTCTATGACCAAAAGCCTGCCAGTTCTGTGAGCTCAGGTCAAAGGTCTGGAGGACATATCAGCATAGCCGAAGGCAGTTCTGTTAGAGGGAGATGTCAAACGGCAGAATGAGGAAAGAAGACTGGCGACTATTGAGCTGCTCTCATACGCTCAGTCCTGCCTGCTGGCTTCAGGCTCATGCTCAGCTAGCCCCTGTGTGCTCACATCAATCTCTGGTCTCTCCAAATTTTTGTGTCTTTGGCCTCCCCAGGAATAACACAATAAAAATTAAATAGCCACGGGGAAATGAGTTCCCACCATCATGGGATAAACACCCCAAAAGGCAGTGGTTTTGGTTTCTGGAAAATGTTCAGTTCAAGCCTGAATGTGGGAAGAGGTAGGAATAAGAGGATGGAAGGATCAGTCTCTTCCCCCAGCAGAAGCTGCTGCGGGTGGCTGGCCAGCAGTTAGCTCCAATTTAGGACAGAGAGGCGATAAGGAAGGGACAGCCGACGCAAACCAATAAATCTCTCCTTCCGAGCGAACTTTTATCTGAAAATGTCAAAAAAAAAAAATCTAGACAGGAAATATGTAACCCTAAAGCAATAGCCCGATACACGTATTAGCTGTAACTGAGTTTCCCGAAGATGCAAGATGAGTTAATTGAGTGCTCACGCTTAAAAGGGAGACTTTAACTGCAGGCCCTTTCTACCCATTTAAAACTTAGAAAATCACAGTGTTCCTGATGAGAATCAAGATAGGCAGACCACTTAAAGAAATACGCCCAGGAACCACTGGACACAAACATACCCAAACAGCTGGTCCCTCGTCTGTACCATTTTGTAAATAAGTAAATATGGCTATTCCATGTGAAGGCAGTAAATATGTAAGTTCTTGTCGTATTTAATGCCCAAAGGGCCCAGGGTGCTAAGGCCTGACTTGTAATTTGTCTGCTTGTTCAGATATCACCTCTAAAGCTTCTTTCAACTTGATTAAGAAACCACAAATATATACTATGCAATGTGGGGTGTGTGTGTGTGTGTGTGTCTGTGTCTATCTAATATATTTAAGGTTAACTTAAGCATAAATACATACATTCCCAAATTACAAATACAAGTCAACAACATTGTGCTTCTAGAATCTTCTCACTAGGGAACTTTGCCCAGTGTGATTAGATCGAATAGGTTATCAACTAGTGCATCATGTGGGACATGCGGCAATGTTTGGAGAGATTTTTTATTGTCACAGCTTGGAGATGGGGTGTTACCAGCATCTAGTGGGTAGATGCCAGAGATGCTACTCAACACCCTCAAATGCACAGTACAGTCCCTCCCAGCAAAGAATTATTCCATCCAAAATGTCGGTACTGCCCAAATTGAGCATCACGACATTGATCCTTTTTCCTTCATCACCTGGTTCTACGTTTGACCAGCCTGGTCTCTCTCCACCTCACAGCTCTTCCACCAGAGAAAACAAGCACGCAGTTCTGAAATGACAGCAGCTTCCCTGACTCTCCACTTGTCAGTTCTCACTTGTATAGCACTGAATTCATTCCACCTAATTTAAACAGAAAATAAATCCATGAAAGGATGTCAAGTAGCTCATAGAATTTCCAGGGAGGCAGAGAGTTTACATTGAAGTGAAGCAGCTGGAGCAATAGCAAAACCGCAATCCAGCTGATACCATGTAGGCACTGATGGTGCCCTTCCACCTCCCCACCTAAAAGATTAAGTCCACCCAGCCCCTGCTCCTCTCATTGCCTACTTCTGAACTGGAGTCTCACACAGTTGGATCTGATGGGTGGAGAAGGCTAGGTAATATGCCTGTGGCCCAGGTGCAAGAGGACAGGTGAGTGAGCGTAGTGTCTGCCTTGAAGAGGCAAAACAGATTGTCTAGAAAACTCCCCAAACACAGGAAAGATGCTCCAAAGATACTAGAGGCCACAAAAATAGCTAATGTTTAAAGCCACCCCCACCTCCAGACCCAGTGTTCTGCCATCAAGCCCTGCTTTTACTCAGTTTCATGGCCTAGTTCTAGGTTCTTGCTTCTGTATATGCATCTGGGCCTCCAATGAACTAAAGACCCTATGTCAAATTTCCCCTTTTTACTCCACTTTCCCCCCTGGAGCCAATTATATGCCAGTTTCTTCTTCTCCAAGGAAAAGAACAGATGCTTGGGTCAGGAAAGTGTTGTGAGCAATTGGGAGGCAGGTGGAGTCGCTGTACCAAGTTCAACATCGCTGCACATTGGATTTGTCCCTTGAGTTCTCTTCTTCTTGAGGCTCTTCCTGCCAAATGTATAAAGAAGTGAGGTGGCCCAGAGTCTACGCCCTCAGAGCAGGTTCAGCGATCTCTTGCTGTCTCCCTTTTCTCTCTCTTTTTGTTTAGAAGTCAGAATTACGAATGTTTCTGGGATACCTGAGCAGCCCATCTTTTTCTCCCTTTTTGATATTCTCATCTCTGGCAAGTTGAAGTCAGACTATTGCTGTGGTCTGAGATCTGTGGCAGAAGCAGAAGCAGAAGCCAGTTCTCCTTTTGGCACTGGGAGCACTCCTGTCTCTGCCTCTTTCTGTGGCACACTGGCGTGTGTGTGCGTATGCGTGTGTGTTCTGTGCACCTTCATGGCATGTGTGTGCGTATGTGTGTGTGTTCTGTGCACCTTCATGGCATGTGTGTGCGTATGCATGTGTGTTCTGTGCACCTTCACGTGTGTGTGCATACGCATGTGTGTGTGCATACGCATGTGTGTGTGCGTATGCATATGCGTGCGTATGCGTGTGTGTTCTGTGCACCTTCATGTACATGGACTTTCCTCAGATCAGAGCAGTAAGATCCAAGACTGAGGCTTGGGATTGGAGGAAATAGGGACTGCCAGCCTTTTAGTCTACTTTGATTAAGGACCACTGGAGGTAGCAGACCCAAATTCAAGTCCTGAGCCTCCTTCTTAATTAATAACCATGCAACCTTGGGTGATTTACCTAACCTTGCTGAGTCACAGAGTTCTCAGCTGTAAAATGAGATCATGAAGGCTACCTCAGAGCTATTAGGACTGAATGAGAAGGCACACGCAAAGTGCCTGGCACATCATGCACCGTGTCTCGGCATTCTGCTGGTCTCCTGGGAGACCAGAAGACGTAAATATTATTCTGTCTTATTTGGAAGCATTCATTCCACCTCTGAGGGCAACAGATGTTTTTCCATCTCAAAGTCATTACAGAATAGGGGTAGGAAGAAAGTGGTGAGTGGGAAGTTTTCAAAGCCCTAAACAGAGAAGTCTGCTTTAATAGTACCCAATATGAAGTTGGGGTCTCATGTCCAGTGGAGTGGTTGCAAGTGTCCCTGCAAGTGTCGCTCATGAGTCCCGGAACAGGAGCCAAAGGTCATGGTTTGAGTGGGCCTCCCTAGAGGTAACATCCTCATCCAGAAAGAAATCTCCTCATCCCCCAAATTTTTCCCACCCATTCACTGGCACTGAAAATTCCTCCTACAGGGAATGCACATTTTCTTGCAGAGTGAGAGAGCTTAAAATGCAAGCACTATATATCCTCATTGTGAAATTGACTACTCACTGAAATTGATTTGTAACTCCGAAAACTTGAGCACTTTCAAAGCCATTCACAGACATGCACAGGGTGACAACAAAATTTGAGTTAAGGACACTTGTGCTCCCGGCTGAGGTGGAACAAGACAACCCTCTGCCTTCCTGTTTCAGCTCCCGTGCTATAAACAAGTGTCCTTTTCACGATCTATTTGGTGCCAGTTTTTCACATTTTTGTGCTTTCTGTTGGTGACCTCGCTGTTTGAGAGGGCCCTCCTCACGGTGCTGAAGTGCTGTCTAGCATTCCTACATGCAGGAAGGCTGAAAGTACTTGTGTTGGATGAGGGTCATTCAGGCATGAGTTATAGTGCTGTTGGCCGTGAGTTCAATATTAATCAGTCAAAAATGCAGTACATCCAGAAAAGGAAGAGGAAACACACCAAACGGTGTGTGAGTCCTCTCTGGGAAGTGCTAAAGTAACATCTACAATGCATGCTGAAGCTATGGAAAACATGAAAAGCACAAAGTCTGTGGATTCACGAGATGATAACCAACCACAAAAAAGTGTAGTGGACAGACAGCATTGCTGTGAGGCTAAAAGCCAAAGACATTTATGATCACATTATCATAATTGAAATATTATTATTTAAAACATTGCATTTAATTACTTGTTTGTAAGAAATACGTCTTTTTAAAAGTGTCTTCAGACTGAAACTTACATAAAACAAGGTTATGTATTGATCTGCTGGTAAAAATGTTGTGAGCAGAGACTCAAGAGAACCTCATGCTGTATTTCTGCTGGGAGCAAGTATTCCCTAATTCAGTGTTTGTGACAACTTTGTAGGACATCACTACTGTAAATAATAAGAATCAACAGTAGCACCTTAGGAAGGGACTCTCAGAATCAATGTCACACTGAAGTATGAATTCCCGATGGTGCCTGCTTTCCTGAGAGCACATTTGTTCACTGAATGCCTGGTAGGAGGTTCACTGTAAAGAAATAGAGGAAGTCCTGAGGAAAGGACAAGTGGGAGCAAAAGACAAACTTCTCCTTCCCCACAAGATTATAGCTGCAGTGAAATTGAAATGATTTGCCCAAGACCAAAGAGTGGAACTTAGCGACTGTGGAACTTGGGTTTACGGTTCGGGTCTGTCCTCTACACTTGCCCCCAGAGTTTTTGAAAATTTTCTTCATGCCAATGTTCAAGCATGCACTAGGTATGCCAGCAGGCACACCAGCTGCACCAGGGCTGCCCATCCCCAGCTAGCCACCAGCTGTGAGTTGTGGAACGGAGGAATACCACGCAACACCATTCAGCCTAAGGATAGTTTAGAAAACAGCCAGGCTGGAGAATGAGCAAATTCTTACCACTGAACCTGCTATCCTACGGCTTAGGATCATTGCTGATCCACTCAACAAAGAATGACATTTGGCCGGGCTTGGTGGCTCATGCCTGTAATCCCAGCACTTTGGGAAGCCAAAGCGGGCAGATCACGAGGTCAAGAGATGGAGACTATCCTGGCCATCATGGTGAAACCCCATCTCTACTAAAAATACTAAAATTAGCTGAGCATGGTGGCCCATGCCTGTAGTCCCAGCTACTTGGGAGGCTGAGGCAGGAGAATCAGTTGAACCCGGGAGGTGGAGGTTGCGGTGAGCTGAGATTGCACCACTATACTCCAGCCTGGCGACAGAGCAAGACTCGTCTCAAAAAAAAAAAAAAAAAAAAAGAGAGAGAGAGAGAGAATGACATTTCTCAGTCCCAAAGAACACACACAAAAGTATATGTCTGGTAGCATTGACAACAACAAAAATAACAGCAATATTTATGGAGTACTTCTCCCATGCCACACATTGGATTCAGTGTTTAATACGTTAGATAACTTGTAAAGCTTAGGGTACATCAGAGTTAAGCCAATTAGTGCAGCATTTTGAGGATGCTGGTTTGTACAGACAGGGAAGTTCCTTGTAGGCAGTGTTATTTCTGTAAATCTCACATTGAAATGTGTGTCCTGGCAATAGAGATCACTGAGAACTTGGCAATGAGTGTATTACATTGTATTAATTATGGGATGAATACGTCTTAAACATGCATCATGAGAAAGAGGGTAGGCTGGGTCCTAAAGACACCAAGGAGAACAGTCTCTGTCTGCAAGAAATGTACAGCTGGCAGGGGAGAGGAGTTGTGAGCTGAGAGGTAAGCAATGCCACTGTAAGAAAGGAACCATGAACATTCTGTCTTAGAGCTTTGGAGCAATTTCTTCTGCACAAGAGACACAGGGAGACTCTCAGAGGAGGGGACATTTAAACTTGACATAAAGGAAGGATTTGGGGACCAAAGGGTAAGGGGTGGAGTTCCAAAGGCAGGCAGAGTGAAAAGCAAGGGACAGTCCATCACTAGGCAGGAAGCCACACAGCAAGTGTAGAGAAGAGAGTGTCCAGCATTTGTAATGTTCCAAGCCCTGGGTTACAATGAGGAGGTAAAGATGATGAGGACAAGGCTCCTGGCCTTGAGGGGCTCAAGCTTTAGAGCAGTGCTTCTCACTGCGCCCATCCATGATAAGGAGCATGCACCAAAATGAAAAGCAACCTGCTGATCCTCCTTTTAGTATAATCTGGCTAAGAAACAAGTGAACTGGGCCAGGCGCGGTGGCTCACGCCTGTAATCCCAGCACTATGGGAGGCTGAGGCAGGTGGATCACGAGCTCAGGCGATCAAGACCATCTTGGCCAGCATGGTGAAACCCAGTCTCTACTAAAATACAATTAGCTGGGTGGTGCATGCCTGTAATCCCAGCTACTTGGGAGGCTGAGGCAGGGGAATTACTTGAACCTGGGAGGTGGAGGTTGTAGTGAGCCGAGATCACGCCACTGCACTGCAGCCTGGTGACAGTGCGAGACTCAGTCTCGAAAAAAAAAAGAAAAGAAATAAGTGAACTGACCTAGCAACAGAACTGATTTTCATTTTGGCCCATGCTTACCCCATCACAGACCAGCAGCTGGTGTGCACGCCATGCTTGGAGCCATACTTCTGCAGAGCAACGGCCTCCAGAATGAGTGCATGCAAGAAGACCTATTCAGGCACAGAAAGAAAATAGTAAAATTTCTTCTTACACAGGGCCTGAAATCAATGAAGCTAGATGTTCTTTGGCTTATCAACTTTGTTTCCCTGATGCTAGAAAGGCAAAATGGTGCACACACCACGCATTTTTTACACACCATGCCCAGAAGGAACCAGGAAGTGGAAACCGTTTTTACCCACAGAACACTTTTGACACCAAATGTGTAGGGTTTTCTACCCACATCAACCAATTTTCCAACACCAGCCAGAAGTGTCCTACGCTTCAATTATCTACCTGAGTTATCTACCTGAGGCATTATCTACCTGAGTTAGTATCAGACCCCATAAGTTAGGGGCTCGGTCTCACAAGACTACCCCTGCTTCAGGTGCCAATTACAAGTCCTGGGCCTCCAGTACTTCTGACTAACCAGCTACAAATCAGGAGATCCCACAATACCTCCTCAGCCTCCAAATTTGTTATAATGACTCACATAACTCAGGTAAACACTGTACTTACATTTACCAGTTTATTACAAAAGATACTATAAAATATACAAATGAACAGTCAGAAGAATAATTATGTTAATATAATCAATTATCATATAATTATTATCATAATTATTAATATCAACATAATCAATAATAATATTAATACATAGGGTGAGGTCCAGTACAGCCCCAAGTAGAGGATCTTCTGTCCTGATGGAATTGGGGTGCACCACCTGCCAGTACATAGATGCATTCACCAACCCAGAAGCTCTCCAAACCCCATCCTATAGGATTTTGTGAAAAGTCATTACATAGGCAGGATCAATCAAATTATTGGCCATTGGTGATTAAGTCCATCTCTAGCCCCTTTTCCTTCCCTGGAGGTCAGGAGTAAGGCTGTAAGTACCATCCCACCAATCATGCCTTGGTCCCTCTGGTGGGCAGCCTCCCACTGAAGCTAGATACAGACCACAGCCACCAGTTATCTCATTAGCTTACCAAAGGCACTCATCACTCTAGAGATTCCAAGGGTCTTAGAAGCTCTTCTTTAGGAACTGCAGCAAAACTTGTGATGGATCCTCAAAGAGCATAAAGGCTCTAAATAGTCTTTTGTCTGTGTGGGCTGGGTGTTCCGCTGTTGGGAAACAATTCTTCCCAGATTTTTTGGCATTTCTGCACAGTCTTGTCCTCAACCAAAGAGCACTGAGAAGCTCTCTTCACAAATGGTTGGCTAGCAAATATGTCTTGGGAGCTGGAGTGTGTAGAACAAAAACAGACAATGTCTTCCTCCCCAAAGCTATTCCATAACTGTAACTGACATCTTACGGATGTCCTAAGGTGGTAAGGATAATGTCTTCCCCAAAGGCAAGGGTTAGGCACATTCGCTGGCAGTTTTCTGATAAGGCCAGGACTTAAGCTCACAGTTCCTCGGCTGTGACATAGGTCCACTGTGAGCACAGCATCATCTGGTCCCACTCCACATACCCACTACAGAATTTCAGTGGGTGGAGTGTGCAATGGGAATCAGTAAGAATAGTAATTAACTACTGTGAGTAATTAACTACCTAAACCCATGCACACTCACTGCTTCCTTACTACAGAGTTTATGAAAGGGCAGCAAAGAGGCTTCAGGAACTCCTTCTCCTCTTGGCCTGACAGCCACCAAATGATTTGCAATCAAATTTTCTGTTTTCAGAGATTTAGGGGTTTTAGAATCATAAATGAGGCATCATGTGCTTGTCTTTATTTTTTACCTCATGTATTTCTCTTCTTTGTATGTTTTCTAATGTAAATAAGGTGTCAGTGCAAGAGTACCTGTATTTAATTTGCAAATAAATAAATATGCACCTATCAGAGGTGTCCAAATATCTGATCAGTAAGGCGTTGCCATCCAAAAAGCTTGACGACCGCTGGCTTGGAGATCCACGTCAGGTACAGAGAGGAGCAGGGGAAAGCAGCCTCAGAGGGGAGAGGGCCCAGGGGTTCGAATGCCAGGCCTGAAGTCCGAACTGCAGCAGGAACTGACCCCAAGCAACTTTAACTGGCTTCTAAAGTGAACCTCCACTTGTGCTGCTTGTTAGAAGTTGGGAGAAAAAAAAAAAAGAAACATCACCATATTTGAAAGCTACAAAGATTTAAAGCATAGCCTGGTACTAACATTGCAAAGAAGAAGACATAGAATGAAATAGGCCGGGCAGGGTGGCTCTTACACTTTGGGAGGCTGAGGCACGAGGATCCCTTGAGCCTAGGAGTTTGAGATCAGCCTGGGCAACATAGCCAGGCTTGGCTATGAGAAAGACCTTGTCCCTACTAAAAATCAAAAAAATTACCTGGGCATGGTGCTGTGTACCTATAACTCTGCTACTCAGCAGGCCGGGATGGGAGGATTGCTTGAACTTGGAAGGTTGAGGCTGCAGTGAGCTATGACTGTGTCAGGCTGCACTCCAGACTGGGTGACAACGTGAGACCCGGTCTCATAAAAAATAAAAAATGTTTGTAGGATGTCTTAGTCTGCCTGTGCTTCTATAACAAAATACCATAAGCTGGGTGACTTATAAACTGAAATTTATTTCACACAGATCTGGAAGCTGAGAAGTTCGAGATCGAGGTTCTGGCAAATCCGGTGTCTGATGAGGGCTCACTTGGAGGTTCATAGACACTGTCCTCACCAGGCCTATGAGGCTAAGGAGCTCCCTAGGGCCTCTTTAGACAGGACTCAACCACTTCATGAGAGCTCTCCCTCATATCTGATCACCTCCCAAAGACCTCACCTTCAAATACCATCACACTGAGGGTTAGGTTTTAACATACAAATGGGGCGGGAAGACACACACAGCCTATAGCAACGTCTTTATCCCTCAGCAAACACGCAAAAACTAGAAGTTCCACAAGGGCAGATATTATACCCCTTTTGTTCCAGTTTGCTGGTAGGTGCATGTATTTGTTTTAAGGAAGCACCCATATGAATTGATAACGTAAATGGCTTTTGTTGAATAAGGAATGACCACTCCTCCCTGTTGAGCTAACATAAGATGCAGTGTCCTGGCTGGACTCTGGGGTCTGCTCTGTTTGGGCTGTGGTTTAATGCCCTGCAGGGCCTTGTTCTGAGAACAGCCTCCAGGCTGCTGCTGCTCACTGAGACCTCAGCTAACAATGCAGAGCTTCCACTTCCTCTGTTCAGATCTTCTCATCCCTGTCCCTGGGTCCTGCTGAGGTGGGAGGAAACCCATAAAAACACACCTTTCCTGTCCTGAGTTATGAAACAATTGAAAAATAAAATTACTTCCTATAAAGGGTATAATATTGCTTTATTTCTGGTAAAGATGATACTGCAGCCTAGGCAAGGGGGTCATGCCTATAATCCCAGCACTTTGGGAGGCTGAGGTGGGTGGATCACTTGAGGTCAGGAGTTTGAGACCACCCTGGCCAACTTGGTAAAACCCCATCTCTAATAAAAATACAAAACTTAGCTGGGCATAGTGGCACACACTCATAATCCCAGCTACTTGGGAGGCTGAGATGGGAGGATCACTTGAACCTGGGAGGTGGAGGTTGCAGTGAACTGAGATCGCGCCATTACACTCCAGCCTGGGAGACAGCAAGACTCCATCTCAAAACAACAAAAAACACCCTGATACTGGAGGACACAGCCTGGGTAGGTGTGTTCTAAATACTGAGTCTTGCAAGTAAACAGAAACTAACCACCCAGTCCAGGGCACACACCAAGGAGCAGCAGGGCTAGGTGGGAACGCGGGTCCACCAGGCTCTGTCAGGGGCCCAGCTCCTTGCTTACGCACCGTGTTCATATGCAAACATGACGGGAGCACTGGCAATCACCTGCAGTGAAACCTCACTTAAGGCAAACCTCCCACTGCTGAGACCCTGTTTGCTTATTTGAAAAATGGAACTAACACTTTCCAACCAGCAGAAATTGTGAGGATTTGGCAAGATGATCACAAGACCATGCAGACTAACATATTCTGGAAATGAAAATGTCATGTAAAATATAAAGGATTATTATTACTGCTCCCATCATGATGATCCTGAAACCCACAAAATGAGAATGAGAGAAGTGATTGCTAGCCATGCCACTGCCTCCCACTGCAGCCTAGAAAGTCCCAGTGACACCAGGGGCCCACCCCAGGGGGTTCGGGCATTGGCCAGGGACACCACAGTGCACAGCAGAGCCTTAAGAGGAAGGATGCTCTGGCCCCCCACCCACCTGCAGAAACAGAACATGTCTTGCTTTCCTTGTCCTTCATTCCAGAAATAGCCAGGCACCCTCGGCGGGTTGTGGGAAGCAACGTGGGCTGCTGTGTTTTGACTTACCCCAGAAGTGATCAGAGAAGAGCAGTTCCAGAGCCTGCTGAGCAGGATTGGAGAATTCATGTTGAATTCCCCCCGCTTAGCTAAACATCCTCCCTTGGTTAGCCTGGCTGAGTCTGGAAAAAGTAAATATTTTCAGAAAGTCAAGCCAGTGATTTTGTTTTCTAAATCTATGCTGGCATGGTGTCTGGAAAGAAGAAATATGGGTTCCGACTGGGTTTAGGGAACAGAAACTGGCACTTGAACAACAACCGTGTATCAGACACAAAGCTGAGCATGTTCACGTTCCTCTCCTGCCTTCTTGCAGTAGCCCAGGAAGGAAAGATGTCACCCTCATTCTATTGCAGATGAGGAGGAAAAGCTTGGAGAGGCTGGGTGGCCTGCTACAGACACACAGATGGCAAACCACAGAGCTGGGTACAGACTCAGCCTGGCAGTTTACCATGCCCATGCTGTTTCCAGGACCCCCTGCTCTGCTGATTAATTTAAGATACCCCTTTTTTGCCGGATGGCCAAAGAACAGACAGACTGTAGAATGCCAGTGCCTCTTATTTTCTCTCTCTCTTTTTTTTTTTTTTTTTTTTTTTTTTTGAGATGGAGTTTCGCTCTTGTTACCCAGGCTGGAGTGCAATGGGGCGATCTCGGCTCACCGCAACCTCCGCCTCCTGGGTTCAGGCAATTCTCCTGCCTCAGCCTCCTGAGTAGCTGGGATTACAGGCACGCGCCACCATGCCCAGCTAATTTTTTGTGGTTTTAGTAGAGACAAGGTTTCACCATGTTGACCAGGATGGTCTCGATCTCTTGACCTTGTGATCCACCCGCCTCAGCCTCCCAAAGTGCTGGGATTACAGGCGTGAGCCACCACGCCCGGCCTTTATTTTCTCTCTTTATTTGTTCAAAAATATCATTATTTTTCTGCTTGCAGATTAGAAAAGTAGCCCCTTTGGACAATAAAACGGTGGTGTTGACTTTTCCATCTCATCCTGTAATCGTAATGAGCATGTATTAGTCTGTTCTCATGCTGCTAATAAAGACATACCTGAGACTGGGCAAATTATAAAGGATAGAGGTTTAATTGACACACAGTTCCACATGGCTGGGGGGGCTTCACAATCATGGCTGAAGGTGAATGAGAAGTCACGTCTCATATGACGGCAGGCAAAAGAGCTTGTGCAGGGGAACTCCCACGTATAAAACCATCAGATCTCTTGAGACATATTCACAACCACAAGAACACTATGGGGGAAACCGCCCCTTTGATTCAATTATCTCCACTTGGCTCTGCCCTTGATACTTGGGGATTATTACAATTCAAGGTGAGATTTGGGTGGGGACACAGCCAAAATGTTTAAGAGCAATATCTTTAGAAGTTGACATAGAGGTCCCTAGGTTACCCTGATTTCATTTTGTCCTCACTTGCTAGACTCAGGCTAGCTTGTGATGCTGCTGAAAGGCAGAAGACAGAGATACCGGAATGAATCAGCCAATTCCCAGAGGCGGTGCATCTGAGCGAGAGCCCAGCCATGGTGATCACCAGGCACTCCCTGGAGGAAGCAGGCCTCTTCGACAACAGCAACAGGATCAATAGTGTCTGTTCCTGTAACCTGGGGAGTGGCAGGGCGTCCTCTTGCTCAGGGTCACATATCCCTTTCCTTGACCCCCTTTCCTTGCTGGGACTTGTGACCCAACATGAGAGGTGCTGGGACTGGTTTAGATTTGAATTAAAGGGTGTATTTGAAAAGATCTGAAAGAAAGTGTTAAACATTGTTTAAGAGAATGAAAATGAGAAAAAGAGAGAGAGGAAAAAAAAAAAAAAACAGTCACTTTGTCCAGAGAAGGGGGGACGCAGTTGAAACACAGTCAACTCCTTATTTCTGTAGGCATTGGTTTTGTTGTAGAAAATCCAAGGACTTTGCAACTGAATCTTCTTTATGTCACTGGGCATTTACCACATGGTAGACACTGATTGCCCACCCTACCCACATTATCTGGAGTAGGGTACCCCTTCCAAATCCATACTGCATCTGCATTGATCCCTTTAAGAGAAAACAGAGGAAAGACAATGGAGAAGAGGAGGAGGAAAGTGAGGGGTGAGGAGTTCCAGCTAGTGTAAAGGAGTCCAGCACTGACACACTCTAAATCTGCTGATATCACATTTTCCACTCTCTAAATTATTAATTTGCAGTGCTGGTTTCTACACAGTGCTTAGCACTATGCCTGGCACGTGGTAGGCTCTCAGTAAATATTTGTTGAAGTATATAAATACGCAAAGCTTTTTTTTGTTTTTGAGATGGAGTTTCACTCTTGTTGCCCAGGCTGGAGTACAGTGATTCAATCTCGGCTCACTGCAAGCTCTGTCACCCAGGTTCAAGTGATTCTCCTGCCTCAGGCTCCTGAGTATCTGGGATTACAGGTACTCACCACCACACCTGGCTAATTTTTTGGATGATTAGTAGAGAAAGGGTTTCACCATGTTAACCAGGCTGGCCTTGAACTCCTGACCTCAGGAGATCCACCTGCCTCAGCCTCCCGAAGTGCTGGGATTACAGGTGTGAGCCACCATGCCCGGCATTTTTTTTTTTTTAAGTTCTGGGATACATGTGCAGAAAGTACAGGTTTGTTACATAGGTATGCATGTGGTGTAGTTGTTTGCTGCACCTATCAACCTGTCATCTAGGTTTTAAGCCCCATATGCATTAGGAATTTGTCCTAATGCTCTCCCTCCCTTTTCCCACAACCCATCAACAGGCCCTGGTGTGTGATGTTCCCCTCTGTGTGTCCATGTGTTCTCATTGTTCAACTCCCACTTATGAGTGAGAACAAGTGTACACAAATCTTTTTTAGTGTGTCCAGAGATTGAAGTTTCCAGATTTATACACCTTGACCGCACCTTAGTGGGAGGAGGTCCACCTGAGAGGCCAGCAGCAGCCCAGGATGACACCTCTGCCTCTTTGTTAACAACCAACAAGACCAGTTTTAACAACACAGCTTTCCCCTAACCAGGAAGCCATTTCTGCACCCGCACAAGAAATATAGACCCACGACCCACCCCTCAGAGAAAAAACTGGAAATCTGAACAAAAGGCCCTGTGACCTCCAATTGTCCACTTAGCCCCACAGGGAAATGTCTAAGAGAAGAGTATTTCACAAAAGCCAAAGCATGTGGCCAAGCTGTTAGCTCACTGAACTCCTGCCTAGTGCCTTGTCACAGGTACAAGTTCAAGGTCTGGAGAGCATTCATGGAATGTGACTGATGGATGCATTTCTTCTTACACCTAGTTCGCTCTAACTGCTGTGAAATAGTTCCCAAGCCTTCATGCACTGGTCTAATTTCAAAGCAGATTCCCTTAGAAGTTTTGAGTGGACAGAATGAAGAAAAGAGTCAAGCATGAGTAAATCCAAAGCATGGTCAGGGACCAACTACCCAGAAACTACAAATATTAGAAATAATACTTTTTGGCTGGGCACAGTGGCTCACAACAAAAAATAATAACTATTGTAATCCAACAGTTTGGGAAGTTGAGGTGGGAGGACTGCTTGAGCCGAAGAGTTTGAGACCAGCATGGGCAACATAGGGAGACCCTATCTCTACAAAAATGGAAAAATGAGCCAGGCGTGGTGGCACACACCTGTGGTCCCATTTGGGAGGCTGAGTGGGGTGGATCGCTTGGGCCCAGGAAGTCGAGGCTGCAGTGAGCCATGATTGTGCCACTGCATTCCAGCCTGGGCAAGAGAGCAAGACCTTGACTCAAAATACGTGTGTGTGTGTGTGTGTGTGTGTGTGTGTGTGTGTACACTATTTGCCTATATATTTAGATCTCACCTCTTCCAATAAAGAGACTTAAGGCATATACATATGCATAACTTTTCCTTAGAAGGAATAGTGAGAAGGAAAGATATTTGATTTAGGAGCAAGACAGCCTGAGTTCACATTCTCTTCTCCCCATAAATCAACTGCGTAGCCTTGGGTTAATGCCTCTGGCCTCAGTTTCCTCATTTATAAAATAAGGATAATAATAGCACCTACCTCATAGGATTGCTGTGTGAAATGAACTCAACTCGAGGCTCAGAAAGAAAAATTAATCACATCTATTGATGATTTATTAAATACCAAGACTATACTAGATACTCTTTCATACTTAGATTCAATACAACTCACAACAACCTTACAAAGTAGACATTACTAGTCACATTTCATACACAAAATACTAGAAGCTCAGAGAGGACAGTAATTTGACCAAAATAACATAGGCAAAGGGAAAGGTTGGTATTTGAATCCTGGTCTTCCCAAATAAAAAATAAACCAAGGCTATAGACAACACTCCTTCCCAAATCCCGAGTCGTCCCATGATGGTTCCCAGTCCTTATAATGATGGGGATCAGCCTGCCCTCACCACCCCTCTGAATTCTCACAATGAAGGAATTTCTATACATGTGGAAGATAACATTTAAATTTAATGCCTAGGTCTGACTTCTCTCCACCTATGATATTAAGAAAGACCACATTGGTAGAAACAGACTATACAAGGCAAGAAGACCACAACCATCACTGAGAACATCATCCTTTCCCAATGCTTTGGGGTTCCTTGTGTAGGTCAGCCTGCATTCCAAAGGCTTTTGTCTATAGCACCCTCAGTTAATGCACAAGCTAGCACAGTACAAGATTGTGTAATGATACTCACATGTACTCAGTCAATGATAGGCCTTACTATTAACTCATTTTCTCCTCAAAATACATTATGAGATACTTATCTCCATTTTATAGAAGAGGAACCCAAAACTTAGAGAACAAAGCTACTAAATAGTTGTATTCGTTATGTATTGCTGTATTACAAATTACTCCAAAACTTTGTAGCTTAAATCAATAATAAACATGTATTGCCTCACACAGTCTCTGTGGATCAGGAGTTTGAAAATGCCTTGGATGGGTGGTTCTAGCTTAGGATTTATCATGAGGTTGCGGTCAGGATGTCGACTGGGACCACAGTCATTGCAAAGCTTGACTGGGGATGGAGGATGTGCTTCCAAGGTGGCTCACTCACATGGCTGGCGTGCCGGCACTCGCTGTTGATAGGAGGTCTCAGCCACGCCCCATGTGGGCCACACCACAGGCTGCTTGAGTAACTTCATGTCGTGGCAGCTGGCTTCCCTCAGAGTGAGCAATCTAAAATTCAGAGAGTTAAAGTTTATTCATTTTAGTATTTAGCCTCGAAAGCCACATAGTGTCATCTCCATCACATTCTGTTGTTTGGGCACAAATCACCAAGTCCAGCCCACTTTCAATGGAAGAAGTAGACTCCATTTTTTTAGGGGAAGTACATCAGAGAATTTACGACATATTTTTGAATCACGACAGAGGCAAAACTGGAATTCTCATTTATCCCTTTCTAACTTAGAACTCCAGCTCTTTTCTGGATATCAAAGGTAGGAAAAATGTGGCATCACTACTTCCACAATTCACCTCCACCTCCACAGCAGATGTCACGACAACCCCAGAACTCATTCTGCTGCAGCCGGACGTGGCCTCAGAACCTCTCTTGCACCATCCCCCAGGAAGTTGCCACCCATCAGATGGAGTTGGCACACAAGTGGAAATTTAGTGCATTCCTGACCATACCATGGCTATAGAGAGAAACTTACAGGTACGTTAGGTTTCACTCTCTTAGAGCCCCTAATCTTATGGATCACCTCCGAGACACTGTATAAAACATTTGTAATAATAAAGCCCTCTCCCAAAAATTCTCTAAAAAAGGACAATGCTTTAGGATACCTCATGTTCTAACGTTTAGAAGGTCTTCTAAATTCCAGAACTCCACTGTAATTATGCACTCTCGCCTCAACCCAGTAATGTCATTTACTCCTCTAATGCCAGGAAGAGAGGCCTGCGGGTAGCATCTGCTGTTTTCTTTACTTGATACAGTGGCTGTCACCCACAGGTGCACATTGGAATCCCCAGTGCTGAGGCCTGGTCCCCAACCCGGGAACTCTGATGTAACTGATATGAGGCCCAGGGACTTTTCAAGGCTCCACAGGTAATTCTAATGTTCAGCCAGTCTGAGAACAACTGATTTAGCACTTCATTTCCATTGCCAAAAAAGTGACTCTCTGTGCATTCATTAAACTCTGCCACCTTGTAATTGGTTAAATGAGCATATTAATAGAACTTAGAGAGTGATGAATCCCCAGGCTGTATTCAACACTTACTGCTCTTTTT